ATATATAGTATATAGATAGATAGATAGATAGATAGATAGATAGATAGATATAGATAGACTGTATGTGTGTGTTTAGATATGGTTTGTATAGATATACACATACATAGTATATGTTTGCGTATATAGTATCTATATATAGCATGACTTATACATGCATGCATATATATTCATATAGCATATAATAGATTTATAATATATACAATGTGTTCATTTATAGCACATATATACATACATAGTATACAGATGCATGCATTTATACATATGTAATCATGTGTAGACATCTGTATAATTTGTGTATATAGTACATGTATGCATAATGATATACAGACTATATATTTTGTATATATACACATATAAATAGTATGTATGTATGCATGTGTATATGCTATAACGTCATTAGTAGATTTTCAGGGTCATCAGGAGGTGGGAGGAAGACCCTTGTTGCACGCAATACAGACTTTAAAAAAAAGTGCCTGCAGCTTGCTTTCTTGCTGTGATTGATAAGGATCCACTGAAAGGAAACAGCCAGAAAATTAGGAAGTAAATGCTTTAGAGAAACCTCACTAATGTCAATCAAGAATCATTTTCTAGGATGAAGGTTAAGAACACACACACACACACACATACACACACACACGCTCATACTCACACCATAATAAACACAAGCCAACTAAGGAGATAGAAAGCCATCTCATTGAATTTCCTTATTAAGAATATCCCAATGCCTATTTCACTCCTACTGGGAAAAAGATACTAACCTTGTGTGGGATCAATTCTCCATCTACAATGTGAGATCCTGGTGATGAGGAGGAGACCTCAAAGAGCAAGTGAAATAAAATGTGAAAAAAAATATACAAATACAACCTGTTTGTCTTTGTCATGTAGCCTTTCACCTAACTGAAAAATCCTTCATCTTCCTCCATGGGTCACTGAAGAGGACTTGGAGAAAGTGTTTCCCCAACACTTTCCATGTGTACAATTGCCTCATCTCACTTCCCTTAAGGGCAAGATGACATGATACTACATTGTTACAGACACTGACAGTGACCAGAGACAGATTATTGTGGCTTTGGGATAGCTGGAGCCTTCACAGTAACTAACAGCTGCACCAAAGATTCTACATCTGCCTGATTATCATTTCCCAATGGTGAAGCATATTTATTACAGCCCCTTCCCCGGGATCTCTCTTCCTCTTTCTGGGAAGTTCACTTTTTATAAATAAGTGAGATCGTTATGTCCCCGCCTGCAGATAAAGGAGGCACTAACTTGAGTACAGAAGTCAGGAAAACACATCTGAGTGAACAGGAGAAAGTCAGCCAGGTAACTCAATTGTATACTGCCAATCACTGGGAAGACTTAGAGCTATTTCCCAGGAATCTCCTTTGGCAGACAATGGAGACCAGATCTTTAGATGATTCTTTAAACCCTTAAATGAAATCATTTAGGTTCATACATGATGAGCCCACAATTACGTGCAGAGTTACAGACTTCTGACATCTGCCACTTTAACTTTAGCCCATGTAAACTATGTCCTCAATTTAACATTAAAGTAACTAAGCAGCAGGTAGGTGGGATGGCTGACGGTGACATCAGCGTGGCTAGTGAAAGGATATTGATTTTCACATGCAATCTGCATACCATCTCCTTTTATGGATGAAGAAACATGGGGTCTAAGACCAAATACTACTCTTACTCTTTGTCAAGGAAGGACCGTATACATTCCATGTATGTCTTCATTAAGAAAATAAACTATACAAAATCTCCAGGGGACCTTGTTATAAGGGTCAGTTGTACTAGCTAAGAATGGACACTGCCCAGAAATGATCAGCTTCTCTAATGCACAAACTTGACCTGTCAGTGCCCTGATAACAAGGCATCGATTGCCCTGCTGCTCTGACTCTAACTTGCCCCAGACGTACCACTCCACAATGCAATGTCTGTATATATAAATATAATACACAGAATGAGTCTATCATGTGCTTCTTATGAAAAAAAGCAAAAACAGCTAAAAATCATTCTGAATCATAGCAGCCAGACAACACCTTCCTTCTTCCCTAAATTCTTTCCCTCCCCCAAACACCTACCACCAGATTCCTCTTTACATGACAGGGCTCAAGATGCTTCAAAGAATACTGAGTATCCCCCCTTCCTTTTTAGATTTCATCCGTCAGATGCAACAGGAACCAGTGCTTGTTTTGTTAATGTTCTTTTTTTATTTTTAAAGTACAAACAAAATTCTTTCAATATAAATAAATCATTTCACTCAATAAAATAGAAAAAATACTATAACCTTAGTCACCGCCCAGCAGGAACAAGTTGAATTATTTAAAGAGTCAGAAATCAGGCCTTGCACCAACATATGTGCTTAGCCCAGTTTCAGTGTGATTTCAGACCTAGGAAAGTCTTGGCTCTACAGGCAAATCATTCTAGAGATCATAATGATTCAAATATCCCATGCTGAGTGTCTAGCTGATGTCCCGAAGTTAATGACATTGGAGTGAGCTGGATTTTGATACCAAGACTACACTTAAACTGACACACAGACATTATATAAATTACTTCGTCGGGTTGCAGAAACACATCAGATTGTATCATGTTCGTCGACTAATAAGTTACTTGCTTCTGAGAAAAATAACTCAAGTCTGTTTCTTTTCCTGGGTCAAATGTAAAGTGCACAGCTCTGGGGAGCCTGAGGAACGCAGGGTGCCCAGCATTTTGTCCCAGTGTGTGAAGTACGGAGCAAAGTTGCAGTTAAACTGAGAGTGATGCAGGTCGTGATGAGCCACACCCCCATACCAGCCAAAGGGCACGAGTCTGTGAGTGGACCACGGGAAGTCGTAGCCTGAGTGGTCCTCCACCGACAGCCAGATGTTAACCACGTGAAAGGTAAGGATGGTGAGTGGGTGACACTGCAGCAGCGCCACATTCAGCACGTCGAAGAAGGTCAGCGACAACAGCTCCCAGACGCTCATGTATTGCGTGGCCAGCGCGAAGGAAGATGCGTTCTGGTGATGCACCTTGTGGAAGGCGCGGTACAGCCAGGGCACCTTATGATGCAGGAGGTGCCACGCGAAGATCTCAGTGTCGAAGAGCAGCAGGCAGATCAGGACGTGGCTCAGGAGCTGCAAGAACTCCGGGGCCTCTGGCGGCAGGAGCGCCGGGCTGCGAGCCCAGTGTAGCAGCGTCACCGGGAACACGAACACGAGGTGCTGGTAGAGCGTCTGCCCCAGGCAGGGCAGCAGCTGCTTCGCGGACGGCGAGAAGTCCGGGTGGATCTTGTAGCGTCGTAGCATGGGCACCCAGGGACATAGGACATCCAGTACCACGAATGGCAGGCAGAAGCCCACGTAAGTGATGATGGAAAAGATGACCGGGAAAAAGGGTGAGCGCGCAAATGCCTCCCCGGTCCTCAGCGTGTCCCAGAGGGGCTGTAGGAGCAGCTGGCTGGAGCAGCCCAGGTCTTGGAGCTCCGAGCGGTTGTGGTAGCCCATGCTGAGACTGCACCCCACAGTTGCAGTCCCCCCAGTCCCGCCGACTTTTCTTAGGACTGCGGCCCCGCCCCCAATGATGTCAGCTGCCCTTCCCTTCCTTCCCCGCTACAGAATCTTGCTTAGATAACCCAAAGTTTTTCGTTAGGTTAGATGGCTCTGCCCTGATCTCAGCTGCATCAAATCGCCTCATCCGCATACATGCGTGCAGCTGCACTTCGAGCCGGTCCCCAGGCCTACGGAACTGTTTGCTCACTTTTCAACCGACTTACTGTGGACAGAGGAGTGAGCAATTCTGGCTAAGGATAATTCACTCGCCATCACCGCTGCAAAGTAGTGTGTTCATCACCATCAGAAAGTCCTGTTTCGCAACCAAAGCCGAATTCAGAGTTTTTAAATGTCCGTAGTGACTGTGTCAAGACGTATGTCTATATTCTTGGAGATCTGTGGGTGTGCGCACCTCACCAGTGCATTTAATGGATGCGCTGCAAACAGCGATAGACTCCTTTACAAAAAGGGAACCCGGAGTCCCCCTCCCCCCGCAGAGGCTCCAGAAAGGAACAGCCAGGCTCTGGTTAGTACAAACCGTCCTCCCCTCCACTTGAAAACGGGCTGCCTTGTACAGGGACCAGAACCTGTAAGAAGTCCTAAGAGGAGGCATCACTGCCAGCCTTCGCTCTGGGATGGAGAACTGAGGATGCTAGCCTTAACACCCACCGAGGGTCCCTTGTTTGGGTCAATGCAGCTCAAAGCCGGGTGGAAGTAGTGATCTATGCAATCCTACAGCCTCCCCGGAAGCCTGATAAGTGCGGGGAATGTCCCATCTCCCCTGCCATTTCTTTGGAGGTCCCTTAGGCTTTGACTTTTGCCCAGCCCTCAATTTTTTTCCTACTCCTCAACTCCTCAACACCCTTTCAGATGGTGGAGCTGTAGGGCCAGAGACTGAGCACTGGAGGACAGTGCTGTGTCCTGGAAGAGCCCTCGGGGAGTCCAGCACAGAAACCTGCCTCTGCATTTCCCCTAGGTAGCTAAAATGTGGCACAAGAGACCCCAGAGGAAACTGGGGCCATTTTACTAGTTTTTCCTTCTTGTGTAGTGTCCTTAAGCCAGGCCTTCTCTTCTGGAAGCTGACATAGTCTTGCGCAAGCTTGCATTTTCCTGTGTTATTTTCCAAGGGAAAACAGCCATAAATGGCCCTAAGAGCCTGCTGTAAGCTCTGAAGGACAAGTGGACTTCTGTCTCCACTGACTCCCTGCCAGGAACCCCTAAGAGTCTTACTTGTGATTCCACATTCCTCCAGAGCTGGCTCCCACCTCTATCAGGAAGGATGCAATGTTTCCATTACTGTGACTTCACAACCCTCGATCTAAGGGCTTAACACACACAATGAGAGGAAATAGGCTACACATCATTTTAATTTTGTACTTCACAGGTAACAACTAGGATATTTGAAATAGTAAGATTTCTTTCAAGAAGAAAAGATAAAAGGATATATTATAAGGAACAAACACATAGTGTAAAAATACAAAACAATAAATGGGCCTAACATATAACCAGAAAATGTGTGTGTTATTATAAACAGGTTCACGTTATATATACATATATTTATGTGTGCATGTGTATGATATACATACATATATGATATGCATACACAATAGGCAAGTTCATAATTCAGACTTCCCATTTGCTATATGTCCCAGAGTTATCATTGATGAAGGAATATGCCCATTCTTCACTCATTCTTTAGGGTCTCGAAACTGAAGCTTCCAGCCTTACAGAAGCCTCAAAAAAAAAGTAAACATAATATAATTTTATAAAACCTATTACAACTATTATGGAAATTTGATTGAAGATGTCCTTCTGTATATTTGTTTCTCTTATTGGTTGATGAATAAAATAATGTTTGGCCAATAGAGGCAGAAAGATAGGTGGGATTAGGAGACGAGGAGAATTCTGGGAAAGGTAGGCAGAGAAGGTGGGCAGAGGATGCCATGTAGCCACCAAAGGAACAGCAGGTCTGGGCATTCTCCAGTAAGCCAAGACCCTGCAGAAATACTTAGATTAATAAAAAAAATGGGTTAATAATTAAGAGAGAGCTAGCCAATAAGAAGCCTTAGCCATCAGCCAACAGTTTTATAGTTAATATCGTGTCTGTGTGTTTATGTGGGGCTAAAGGACAGCAGGATCTGGTGGGACAGAAAACTCAAGCAACAGAAATCAGTGTGGAGTTGTCTCAAAACAAAACAAAACTACCATATTACCCATGCACTCCTGGCTATATACCATCCATATCCTATTGATGTAAAAGAAACACAAACTGGTAGAATTCGTATTTTAAAGGACTTACTAATAATCTTCTTTGAAGATTGAATCACACAAGTGGAATTTAGCTAAAGGAGTGCTGCCTTCAAAATACTCCAAAGATAAGTAGTCTGCTAAACAGACCTACAAGCGATAAGGGAAGTTTAGGATGCTAGAATATAAATATTCACTCATCAGGACTGACCAGCCATTAGGCTCTGGTTCCCATGACAAAGGAGACAGCTGGCTGACTTATGACCAGTCATCAAGTCCCGATTCCCTTACCAAAGACATACCTCTAAAGGACAGCTTCTAGTGGGAGTGTAAGGACACAACCACCAGTAAGTTCTGGTCTCCCATTACATCCTCTATGCTCTCATCAGGGAAAGCATAGTTCTGCCTGGGGGGCAAGATAACCCTTAGCAACAACTGTTTGAAAATGTACAATACTGTCTTACTTCAGCCTAAGAATTTGCTGGATTTGCAGGAATCTTTAAGTTGTTTGAAGTCTAACCGGGGGCCAGACTTGAAAGAGATTTAAGTATGACAGTGTGTTTAAAATGCATATGCCTAATAGTATATAAGCTAAGAAAAGCTTCTCTTGGAGTCTGGATCTTCCTTAATTTCCAAGTATATGGAGTGATTTCTCACTAGTAAGGCATGTTATTTCCCTAACACTACCACAGAAACACCTGTCTATCTATGTGCATTGCTACTCTATCCACAATAGCAAAGACATGGAACCAGCCTGGATGTCCATCAACAGATAAATGAATAATGAAAATGTGGTCTATAGTCACAATGGAATTGGATTCAGCTGTAAAGAAAAATTAAATTTTGGAATTTGCAAGAGTATGGATGGATGGACCTAGACAGTATAATATTAAACAAGGCGATGCAAATTCAGAAGATAGCAACTACATGTTTTCCCTCATATATGGTTCCTAATTTGCAGTGTGTGGTGTGTGTGTGTGTGTGTGTGTGTGTGTGTGTGTGTGTGTGTAAATGGGGATAAATGAAGGTAAAGTCTAAAAACCTAGGAAGGATACCAAAAGAGGGTAAAAGAGCTGCTGAGAAGGGTGTGGAGGGCAAAGGGACATATGTGATATGAAGACAGGAAAAGAAGACTGGGGAAAATTACAAGGAGATTTAGGAGGTAAAGAAATGGGGAGATGAGAAGGAATCTACTAAAATACACTTTGTTAGAAAACACCACCATAATATCTAATGCCTACTATGCTAATGTTTTAAAGAAAAATCTATAAACTCAACAAAGTCCTCAAAAATAAGAGACAGAGAGAGAGGGGGAGGGAGAGAGGAAGGCAGGAAGGCAGGAAGGCAGGAAGGCAGGAAGGCAGGAAGGCAGGAAGGCAGGAAGGCAGGAAGGCAGGAAGGCAGGAAGGCAGGAAGGCAGGAAGGCAGGAAGGCAGGAAGGCAGGAAGGCAGGAAGGAAGGAAGGAAGGAAGGAAGGAAGGAAGGAAGGAAGGAAGGGAAAAGCAAACAGCAAAATGTTACTATGCCCTACTGGTATATCTGCCATTGATGAGATGGTGTAAGAAGTAGCTTTGAGCTTCTTGACAAGCAAAGCACAAAAAGAAAGAGGACTCTCTCTCTCTCTCTCTCTCTGTGTGTGTGTGTGTGTGTGTGTGTGTGTTTCCAAGCTTTAAAATTGGAAGCAGTAACAAAAGGAGAGGTTAGGAGGATGCAGGGCTCTAGCCTCCCTATTGATGGGTTTCTTCCATCTAGACAGTAACAGACTCCTTAATTCCTCTCCATACCCATGTTGTTCCCATCTTCACTTTCAGGGCAACTTAGAAAGTTTCTTCTTTCCTGTCCCTGAAAAATGTGGTCTTTCCCTTGATACACCTTTCAGAGAAGAGAGGAAGGTTTGCAGTTTTTTGGAAAGAAAAAAAATGGATAAAACTCCTCCTTCACGTTTGGCCACTTATAGTTCTAAAGGGACCATCAGAACTTACTATCTCAGAGTTACAAATGTGTTATGTTCAGAAGGCTTATCCAGGTTCCCTCAGGGACACATTGCTCTTTGCTTCTATTCTGCCTTCCATGCTTGGATGTGTTGGGTCTGCTTGTACACTGTAAAAGGTGAGTGGTATTGCTTGGTTTGTATTCAACTAATATCTGTGCTGTCAAGACTTAGTGCTTCCAAACCAACTCATGCTCATTCCATTTCAGTCCATTATTGGTCTCCACATGCTTATAGCATCAAACCTTGTAAAGCAAAACCTGGGAGCCAGATCTACAGAATGCCCTGTCCCCGTGTCCCTGCAACTCAAGGCATGCTGAAGAACAGCTGTCCTTCTGCAGTCCCTGCACATGAAGCTCGCAGGACAGATATTTGTGTCCAACGTAGAGATGCAACCATCTCAAGGAGTCTCTTGGTTAAAGTCTTCACAGTCTGATGCCAAGGAAGCAGGCATAATATAACAGATGACTAAGCAGAACTTAATGAACCAGAACCAAGTTGAGTCCTACGTGGCATTTGGTAAGTGGAGAGTTTATTTCAATTTGCCAAGCATATTCATTGTGCACTTTCTGCAGACTCAAAAATACAATGGTTTCTAAGTGAGTAGACCCTTTAAGGATCCTAGGAATTATTCCCACAAAATCAGGAAACACCGGTCCCATTGATCACTTTTTCTAGATTGTTCTCTCCTCTTCCTCCTCCTCCACCTTCTTCCAACCCCTCATCTCCATGTGAACTGCAGAGGAACCTGGAGTCCAAGGCATACCAAGCACTCACTTTGTCACTGACCTCCAACTCCCTCCCATCCTAAGCAGAGTATCCCGTACATAAAAATGCTCAAAAGATTCTGCATGTTCATTTTAGAAGATATCAACTCAAATTTGAAGATGACAGTAGGTTTCTATATTTCTATACTTATTTATTTTTATATATTTATTGTGGAACACCAGTAGATGCAGTTTGGGTCTTATGTTCAGGGACATTTGCCCACATGAATGGGTGTTTTGTGATGTCACAGCTTTGGCCACACTATGTCTTGTAATTTTCCATTTGATTTAGACTTCCTCTTTATCATTTTTATCCTGACCAGAGCCCTCTGACAGCCTTCCAGGACAAGAATCCTTCCTCCTCCAGATATTCTTGGAGTCTGAACATAGTTAACTCAGTCTCAACTATTATTTGGTACCAACTCACCAAAAGCCTTGGGCTAGTCCTGCCAAGAGAGTATGTAGCTAGCAAAGTCTGATGCTAATGATACCTTCTTTTTAAAAATGAGGTTGGTGGTTTCTTTTCATTCCAAGTGGAATAATTTGTACAGCTATCTGACTGAAACAGCTCTCCTTGGATATCAGAGAGTAAAGGCAAGACCCAAGGAGGTGGGATGACCTCAACGATCCAAATATGAGCTCACAGTTTGAAGACGGAGAATTAAAGATTCAGTCTCAGCTGTGTTAAGAATAGGTAGGGCAAAGAGTAGATTACAGCTGAATCCAGAGTCAGCCAGTCCTTAGCCAGGATTGCTCTCAAGAGTAACAATGAAACTGCTTTTATGTAATAATTCTCAAAAGAATCAGGGACCATTAATTAACCTTGATAAACAATAGACAATGGTAGGAGATGCTAATGAAGAACCAGGGGATGTTAGCTCTTCCCACCCTCAGAACTCCCTTGATGCCCCTGATAGCCTAGGCTGATTCATATGGTTTCAATTTACCATGTGGTGTGTAAGTCAGTGCTGTCCATTCTGTTGGAACTATTATCGGTCTCTCTGAAGCAGTCAGACATATACAGTTGTTCCTATTCAAAAGGCATACCATGCCTGTAAAGAGAGACAATATTACCAACCCTGTACTCCTTCCCCATCAAATAGGTTGCCAACATGATCAAAGCTTTAGGAGAAGGCTTCAAAACTCCAGCACACATAGCTTAAACCATGCCAAGTACATTTTTGTAGTGTAATTGACACAAAAGGTTTCATTTGGCTAGTTTGGAATTAGACTTGAAAGCTGAACCTAACACAATACAACAAATACTGTGACTGGCAATTTTTCATCAGAATAATTATTCCCTTTAGCTGCTGTTCCTGCATTACAGGAAAACAGAGTGGCTTCTAGTCTTAAAAATCTACTAATTATAATTGTATAAAATGTATTAAAGAATAAATGACAGGGGCTGGAGAGATTGCCCAGCGTTAAAGGGCACTGGGTGCTCTTGAAGATGTCTGTACTCACGTAACCACTTACAGCTGCCTCCAACTCTGGTTTCAGGGTATCTGATGCCCTCTTCTGGCCTCCTTGGGCACTAAACACATGTGATGCACTTAAAATGTGCAAGCAAAACACTCGGACACAGAATAAAAACAGATCTTTTTTTATGACAAAAAATCCAACTACTGTCTATTTTAAATGTCTCCATTTACGGAATCAGCATCTTTAGTGGTCCATTGTGGACAAAGCACAAAATAATCTTCATTGTTTGACAATGAAATCAATAAATGTTAGTACTTCTTAATAGTGTGAGGCCTCAATTAAATCCTTTTCTACAACCTATCCACCCAAGGCCCATGCCCAATTTTTATTTACAATTTCTATCTGGGGGAAACAGCTATTCCTTGAGAACATTGTCAGATGTTATTCATTATACAAAAAAATTAATCATTATCCTGGCTATAACTTATGACAGCCACAGCCCCACCCATTATCAAATTGCCAACTGGCTCAAGAAACTTAACAAGGTTCCCAACATCCACAGACAGCTTTCCTAAAAGTTGTTGTAGGAGCTGGGTTTGGTAATGTAAACTTTTAGTTCCAGCATTCAGAAAGGGAGGCAGGAGGACTGCAAGTTCCAGGTCAGCCTGGGTATAGTGAGAGAGAGTCTCAAAACAAAAACCACAGAGTATGGAGTAGGCAGGCTGGAAAGACTAACAAGCTGGAAAGTCAAGCGCGCCCTCTTGTGGGGATGAGAATTGTGATTTTTTTTCCTTCCCTTCCATTCTCCATTCTTCATTTATTTCCTCACAAGACTACATCTTAGAGAAGGATCATAAATAGACAGGTGGTAATCCAGATGATCTCAGCCTAAAGGCTATAGGGTAATAACCCCAAGAAGATCGAATATTAACTTTTCCTCCTCCATAAGCTACAGGCTTGTGCACATCTTTGTATTGTGCTCAACAGAGGACTTGATAAAGACAGTTGAAAAGTCCCCAGGGAGTCCTCACCAAACTGTCAGTGTTTCTAGAGGCAGCAGTCTGAACTCACAGATACCAAGACAAACTTAAGTTAGCTTGACAACAAAGGAGGCTGGAAATAAGAGTTCACAGTGGAGCCCTTGCCTGGAACAAGTGACCATAGAGGAGGGTGGGAACACAGCTCACAGTGGAGCCCTTGCCTGGAACAAGTGACCACTGAGGAGGGTGGGAACACAGCTCACAGTGGAGCCCTTGCCTGGAACACACAAAGCCTTCCCACACCTGCCCTGAGTGGCGGGTGTGGGAAGGCAGGGAGTAGTGGCAGCAAAGGCTTATGCATCCAGGCCAAGAGACCACAAATGAAAGCAAACAGGCAGAGAAAGCCAGTGTGACAAGAGCAGCTGTGTGGTACCTGCACATTTAGACCAGGGCAAAGTTTGAAAAGAAGACAGAGACCAGACAGGAAGAAAATACGGCTGTGCACCACTGTTCATCTTGCCATCTGGAGGAACTGGGCTAACCACACACTCTCAAGGACCCCTGACAAGCCCTTTAACACCAGCTGCAGCTGGAAACTTAGGCCCTCCCTAGAATGGTCTCCACACGCAGGGAAATGGCAGCCAGCAATTCCAACTCCCTGCCTCATCCTTTCAGCTCTGTATTTCATTGGCAAAGCCCGTTTGCCTTGGACAAAGGATCCTTGAGGGATATGTGGCCAGAGAGGAGGGTGGCTCTACAGGAGGCATACCCACTGCTTTGACCACTTTAGTCCTTTCAGAGGGTGCCAGGAAGAACCACACAGAGGTTGTGACAGTCTTTGGAGCTACCCTAGGTGTCACCTGTCACTTCATTTGTCTAAATCAAAACATGTGCCCATCTTGTCAGTCCGCACATAGTAACTACAATAAAGACTCCCTTGTGAGTACCCAAAGATGAACGACTGGTATGGCCTCTGTACTTAAGTGCATGGTAGTTTGAGCCCTCCGAACTGTTTTGTTTGGGTTTGGGGGGGGCACTAAGGCAATGGACTGTCTCTGTCAGCTTTATTTGCTTCATTTGTTCAAGGAAGGAAGTGACAGATACTAACTAGCCACTGCCTGGGGAAGGACTTCATTGTTGCCTGGCCTAAATTCGGAGCCTCTCTAGCACAGACTGTGCACGGACCAGCCCCAGCCATCTTTTGACCCAGGATCCCCTTCTCTCCCCGAAAATTATTCATGGACCATGTGAGTGAGGTTTCCAAGGGGTGGGGGAATGAGAGTAGAGAAAAAAAATTCTGAGTCCTGCGAAAAAACAAAGTATAGGCTAGCTAGCCATTAAAAAGCAAACAGCACCGCATAATTGTTCAGGCCTGTGAGGCTGAGCTTTATTGAAAAGTTCAAATACGAACCTTTAAAATGTTACAAAGTTGTATCATTCTGTCTGCATGTATGAGCCAATATCAAGTAATATTGCTGCATCTAAGGTAACTAGGTCAGAAAACTTATCAACTAGCCATTCAGCTGACAATAGCGAGCAGACAAATGCAGGTTTTCTGCACACAGTATAGAGCATACAACACTGGTTTTCAGAATCGAATTCCTGAGCTGAGCGTTGATCTGAGAATATCCAGTTCATTTGTGTGAAAAATTAACCAGGACACTTGTCACAGGCAGCCAACTTTGGCTTCACACACACACCATCACAGCAACCGCATTCCCTTCTGAAAAATGAGTGGTTTGTCCCTCCACAGGGAGTTTCTTCACAGAAAAGTGACCTGATGAACACACACAGCTGAGTAGATCAACCTTCAAGGTGTTTACAAGAGATTTTTTATTATTATTATTCAGTACAATCTGCTTTACACGATTCTTGGCTTTTTTTTTTTTCTTTGACTTAGCCTAAAAAATCTGAATATTTGCTAAACACTTGTTATTGAGGTTTGGTAAAACTTGAAGAAAGAATATTCCTGACAAGGCTGGGGTAACACTGGATTTGACTAGGTAGTTAGTGCATAAAAACATGAAAAATGTTGTTGAGGCAGGTAAACACAGGAACACTGGGCTGGAGAGCATCTAAGGCAAAGAAAAGAGAACTGAGCACTTTGGTTTTGTTGTTCCTTTGTCTTTGGTTTTTTGTTTGTTTGTTTGTTTGGTTGGTTGGTTTTTTTGGGGGGGAGATAAAGTTTCACTCTCTAGATAAGCCCTAAATCTAGCAGCAGTCTTCCTGCCTTGGTCTCCCCAGGACCCATGTCAAGCCCAGAACAAGGTATTTTTCATACTGCGTTCAAAGAAGAGACAGATTTGTTTTTGCTAACAAAAATGATAGCTTGAAGTGTCCTATACGTTCTCACTTGTGTTTGGTGGGAATAGAAAGGTAATTGCATAGCTTTTAAATTACAGATGGGTTGGGGAGATGGTTTTGTGGGCAAAGTGCCTGATCCACAAGCATGAGAACCTGAGTTTATGCCCCTAGAACCAAAGTAAAAACACTGGATGGGGCATCATGTACCTATAAGCCCAGCACTGATGAGAGAGAAGGTAGAGACAGGCAGATCCTGGAGGTTCATTGGTCAGCCAGTCTAGCTGAAATATGCAAGCTCCACGTTCAGTGAGAGACCCTGCCTCAAAAAATAAGATGATGAGTGTCTGAAGAAGACATCCTGATACTAGCCCTGACCTCCACACAAGGCAGGTCTGACCAGTACATAGCACACGCATACGCATGTATAAGTGGCATGCTTACACCAAAAACAATAGTAAAAAGTAACATAATGATTACGATGACATTTTCACATAACACCCACACCTTTTAAAGACTTCAAAAGGCATCACTGGCTGTGATGCTAGCTTGTTAGTCATAATTAAGCATAAGACAACTAGAGTGCTTCTAACTAACTAGAGAGCACAGATACCTTCAAAGCCATCATCTTCTTGCATGTAAAACAAAAGATCTAGGCAAGGAAAACACAAGCATTTTACAGAAATGAAGCAAACATCTTTTTGCCCTACTAAAGGGTATATATCTCAAGTCAGGTTTTCACTGGTATTTCCTCAATAGATTGACTATTTCGTTATACATCCTCCAGGGGGCATCCAAACCCCAGAGAAAATCCAGATGTTCCCAGTCAGGGAGGCGCTTGTGGTACACCAAGTTGGGGATCTGAGTCAGCAAGATGTTGACGTCACTGGGGTCTGCCAGCCAGTCATGGTCCCCACTCCACAAAGCAGTGGGTACAAGCATGTCTTTTAAGTCATACACGGGAGGGCAAGTCTATAAGAAAAAAAAAAAAGACTAATAGAAACCTTGGTAATAGTTACAATTTTTAAAAATAGAGTAAATGCAATCTCCATTGAAAAATAAATGTCTTGTCAGTCTGATCTGAAATTAAGCAAACAAAAAACTACACATTTTGATAATCACTTTCATTATGTTTTTCAGATAGTCATTACAAGGAAAGAACTGTCGCTGTGGAGATGTTCCCCTCTGCCACACTGTAGGGACCATTTAATCCTCAGTGAGTACCACGGTTATCCCCAGATGTATATGCAAGGACCCAACTGAGTAAGAAGGAGCTCTGTGCTCCGAGGCTCCTCCATCCTCTGTCTGAATGTGAGAGAAGCCACACAAATCCTCCATGGCTCAATTCTCTAAACTTAAAGTCAAAAACAAGGGCTACTTCGAGAATTGAGAAAAACAGAAATATTTTCATACTTCAGGGAACTCAGTGCTCAGAAATGGAAATTTTATTTGCAGAGGGAAGAAAGGGCTTAAGCCATGTAATGTGTCTAAGGTCTCACCTCCAGCAAGCTGGCAATAGCCCAGGGCATCCTGGTTCTAAAGCATATGCTTATGATCCTACCGAACCCCAGTAGCCCCTTACAGCCAGAAAACATCGGGACAGGAGACCTGCACCACTCCACTGACAGACCTGGAAAGATCCAAGTGGACTCAGGGAAAGCACCTTACCAAGCCAATTCTGCTGACAACCCGCCCTCCGCAGCTGAGCCCAACCGAGGTCTAGAAGCCAAAAGCTCATTTAATTAAATGGTTTACCTGGTTGTAATGAAAATAATTCTTGGCCTTGCTTCCCCAGTCAAAAGCTTGAAACATATGGTGTTTAGCAATCTAAAAACAAGAAAATTTGGAGGAAAAAAAAAGTTAGCAGACAATGAAGTTAGAGATAATATCATAGATTACTACAGACAATCAGGTCCTCAAAAACCAAATCCAGGTTTATTCTTCACTTCCAAACTTTACACACACACACACACACACACACACACACACACACACGCACGCACGCACGCACGCACGCGCACGCGCACACACACACACACACACACCCCCCCCCCCCCCCCCCACACACACACACACACACACCCCCCCCCCCCCCCCCCACACACACACACACACACACCCCCCCCCCCCCCCCCCACACACACACACACACACACCCACACACACGCACGCACGCACGCACGCACGCGCACGCGCACACACACACACACACACACACACACACACAATTTTGGTGGGGCATAGAGACAATCCTGTCCTGGGACTCACTTTGTAGACCAGGCTGGCCTCTTTCTGACAGAATGGCTGGGAAAACAGCTATGACCAAAAGAGTTACCCCCATGAGATGAGCATCTGTGTGGACGTTTTCTTTTCTTTCTTTTTTTTTTTTTTTTTTTTTAGATTTTTACTTATTTATTACGTATACAACATTCTCCTTCCATGTATATCTGCACATCAGATCTCACAATGGATGGTTGTGAGCCACCATGTGGTTGCTGGGAATTGAACTCAGGACCTCTGGAAGAGCAATCGGTGCTCTTAACTTCTGAGCCATCTCTCCAGCCCCCTGTGTGGACGTTTTCAACTAAAATTGGCTTCTTGGGCTTTTTCAAAGAGGTAGTAATTTTACTTGAAGGTGTACATACATACTGATGTTTCAGACTGGGATCACCTACTATATGTTCAACAGTGGTCCGGTAAGGCTATACCATTAAAGGACATTATGCCTATCATAGTTTGTGTTCAGTATGTTCTAAGAGGTTCAAACAACAATGAAATTGCTTAGTGAAATGTTACCAAAATGTAAACCTCTCCTTAAGAAATGCCTGACTGTACAAACACATGGTTGTGTTTCCTGTCTATCCTACCTATCTATATGCATTATTTGCTTAGATTTTTGTGAGCATACACGTGTGTGTGTGTGTGTGTGTGTGTGTGTGTGTGTGTGTGTGATACTCACATATGTGTGGAGACTAGAGGTTGATGTTGTAACATACTGAGAAAAATATAGACAGACTTACAGCTGCTGTGAGTACATCCACTTCTATCTCCAATTGAACGTGCTAATTCCCCAGTGCAGCCTGGACTGACAGAGTATGCAGACTTTAGTGTACCAGGTTCTCACACGTCATACATGTGGATAAAGCACCAGGGGTGTAGGAAATAGCTTGTAGCTCAGCATCACTTAGGACTTCAACCTACTAGCACTGTTTTTAAAAAGTTAATCAAATGTACATCTTTTTTTGTTTTAACAAAAAGCAGGAAGTTTCGAACAGTGGATGGCATTGGCATGATCTCAGGGAGTTATTAATATGCAGATCCTAGCAACACATTCAGAATTCGGATCCTGGATAGATGTGGGAGAGGCCTAGAAATCTATTTCATCAGTGTCCTCAGTAGTGTGGCTAGTGCTGTAAAGCTAGGTTGGGACAGGCCTCTTCCAAGAGGAATAAGTGCCCAGGCTCTGGGGAGGGGAGAGGGGAGGGGAGAGGCAAGAACATGTTTGGTTAGTGGGACCTGGTATAAGTTTGTCAGATTTGGCTTGGAGGCTGCTATGGTTATAACCTTGATTGTCAATTCGACTAAATTTGGAATTAACTAAGAGACACCTCTAGGCATGTCTGTGTCTATGAGGATGTTTGCAGAAAGGCTCGTCTGAGGTGGAATCCCACTGACCAGACTAAATCAAAAGAAAAAGGGAGGAAAATGAGCTGAGCACCAGCTGAGGCCACCAGACCACAGAGCCCAGCAGGGGAGCAGTAACAAGAAAACACTGGGAAATGGCTGTACAAAGTAACTCCTGTATGACAGAGAGACCTCGCAGTGAGCAGAAGGTCAAAGGGCACAGTGCCCTCTCTGCTGAGTCATGAATTTGGGAAATTCCAAAACCACAAAGTCAGCTTGGCTAGAGAGCAATGTTATGGCCCTCAGCCTGCAGTCTTTGACCCTGGCCAGTTGCTTAAAGGGGCAGACGAGAGGGGCTGGAATCAGAACAGATGTTAGGGTTACAGCCAAACCAGCTGCTCTCTCCCAAACCCAGTGCCCAGTGGGGGCCTAGGACCCTGAGGACGAAGGAAGGCCCTACTATGATGATGACATAGCATGGACTCAGGGAAGCCACAGTTTCAACACAGCCAAGGGCCCCTGAAAGGCCCGGCAGAGTGGCTACTTGTGAATTGCTGAAGCATGTGTCATACCACACAAAGGCAGCTGGTGTCCACTAAGCTGTCAAGTAGCTCACAAACTGCCTTCAGTGTGCCTCAGCCAGCCGGCAGACATCTTTGGGAATGCAGTGATTTCTGAGGTGACAGAAATGGGGCCTTTTGAGATATGTCCAAATAGAGAAGTAAAATGTTCACATGTGTCTGGGGCAGGGGGTTAGTATGAGAATATATGAAGAAAACAAATGATCATAAACAGAAATATACTTGTGAGTAGCAAGGACCTGGAAGAAGGGCATTGGGAATTTGAGTGCTTCCCAAGGTCTAAAGCATAGTTTAAGTGGTAAATGTATGCTGCAAGCATGGCATGGACAACTCGCATTCTGGGGACCCCTCTTCCTAAGGCACAGCAAACTCTGTCACCTGGCATTTAGCTTTCCTGACACATCAATAACCTAAGTGGCATCTCCTTAAAGAGAAGCCTGTGAGACAGCAGCTCATGTCATGTCTTCCAGTGTCACAGACCACACTTCTTCAGCTAGGGCTCCGAGGCAAGACAGAGAGTTTTCTATGCCATGCCCCAGGGACTCGCACACTTGGCTAGTGGAAGAAGAGTGTGGGGGGCAGACTTCCTAAACATACAGATCGTTGTAAATAAAAAAGGACTGAACTACTCATACATTTGACAGGGATAATCTCAAAATAGGTATATTGAACAAAACAACCAGGCAAAACCAAACAAATACATTATATTATACCCCACTGTTACACATGAACTCTAGGAAAGGCAAAATAAAGTGAGAGAACGCAGATCAGTTGTTGTGGAGGAAGGATTTACCCAGGAACATGAGGGCGCTTTCGGAGGTGGCAGGTATGTTTCCTGTCATACTGAGGCAAAGGCATTACAGGTTATGCCAAAGTGTATCAAGTTGTACAGTGTAGCAGTATGTCACGTATAGCTCAATAAAAATGCAAAAATAAAAAGCCAAAGCCAAAGTACAGTTTCTCCAGTGTGGGGATATTTTGTTTGTGCCCTAACAAAGCTTGCCTGGAGATTAGAGTGTGGTACTAGCCACTAGTTAATCATAGAAGGCCAGGCTGTGGTGGCACACACCTTTAATCCCAGCACTTGGGATCTCAGCCCTTTGATTCCAGTATTCGGGATCTCACACCTTTAATCCCAGCATTAGGGAGGAGAAAACAGTAAGTGATAGGGCTGGGCAGAGAGAGGAATATAAGGTGGGAGGAGACAGGAGCTACTCCGCCCTTTCTCGGTCTGAGCCTATGGTGGAGATAAGAACTCTACTGTCTGGCTGCTCTGCTCCTCTGATCTTTCAGCTTTCACTCCCTAATATCTGACTCTGAGTTTTTATTACTAAGACTAATTAGAACTCATGCTACACTCCAGTGCAAATGATTTGGAATCTCTATGGACACAGGAGTCTGTTTTATTTTTTTCAAGTTTTTATTTACTATTCTTGCATGACCATGATGGAGGAAGTACATGCACGTGTGAAGAACAGAGGACAACTCTTTGTGAAGTTGGTCCTCTCTTTCTACCTTTATGAGTTCTGGGGATTGAGCACATGTAGTCTGGCTTCCACAGCAAGTACTTTAGCTGAGCCACCTTGCTGACTCATAGGTTTCATTTTGTTTTTTTAAAATATCTTACTTATTTCAGTTTATTTATGTATGGTATGCATGTGTGTATGAGTGTGTGTGCTCGGGCACATGCGTGTGCATGCTTGAGTGCGCATGCATGCAAGCACAGTACACACAGAGAGGTCAGAGGACAAGTTGGAGTTCATTCTGTCCTCGGAACTTGTAGATCCTAGGGATCAAACTTGGGTCATCAGGCTTGGCGGCAAGTGCCTTTGTCCACTGAATCACCTCCTAGCCCCATACTTCTCATTATTAAACGTCAGTGTGTATAGCCAGTTCTGCCAGCCTACGCCTTATTTTTTATTGAAAGAATAATTTATTAAAAGATGTAACCCTGCTGGGTGTTGGTTGCACATGCCTTTAATCCCAGCACTCGGGAGGCAGAGGCAGGAGGATCTCTGTGAGTTTGAGGCCAGTCTGGTCTCTAGAGAGAGTGCCAGGATAGGCTCCAAAGCTACACAGAGAAACCCTGACTTGAAAAACCAAAAAAGAACACAGTGTTTCTGGTGCAAGTTGTGTCTGTGCAGTGCTCAGAAGCTAAAACACCTTTAGAGCATCTTGGTTTGAAGCTTAACCAGCAAAGCATTTCACGTTTAGGATAAGGTTAGCTGGAAAAGACCATTCTCAAGACAATGCTGTAAGGTGGAAGTAAATCCTCCCTATTGTCAAGTGGAAAAGGGGAAGCAAGTTATAAAGCCATTAGAAGGGAAAACATAATCTCCTTTTACATCAAATATTCTACCTATAACTACTTCTTTTTGAAATGATTCAGCAAGAGGCACCAAGCAAATACGGAGACTTTTCCTGCCTCAAATGTGTACTTACTACCTGTATGGGATTACTAGAATAATTTCATTTCCATTTTAAGACACTATTCTTTTTTATCTACATGTGAACTCTAAATGCTTTAGAACTAACATACATTGCTTATGTGATAAAATGATCAAAATTCTACTTGAACATTAGTGACCCCCCATTATCATAGATGATCACTTTGGCCCTGGTTTATCCACTCGTGTTCCAGGCACACTGTCCATGGGTGCTGACAGCTTCTACCCCCAGAAAATCATATTTTATCAAATATGAAATAAAGTAAATCTGTTGCACAATAAAAAATAGGGAGGAAAGTGGGAAGGTGAATAGGAAAGGGACATAAATCTGAGATGGAAGCAAAGGAGAAAGAAGTGAAGAGAGAGGAAAACAAAACTCAGCCCTGATCACTGCGAGGTGAGCCTTCGCCCAACACAGTGTATATCACGGAAGATAACTAAAGTGCCCCAACTCAGGGACAAGCGCCCAGGACTGTAGAAAGGAAACAGATTTGACCTGCTGTTTTGGTTTGGGAACGGCATGAAGAAGACTACTCTGGGAATCCACAGCTTAGCCAGTACCAGTTTTACTCAATATTGACCTTACATGTGTCCAGCTGTCCCCCTGGCATGCTTACCTGGCCCCAGTGTCGTAAGTTTTGCACCGAGGTTCCCGCAGGAGAGTGTGATGTATACACATTCACTCTAGACTGAAAGACGAATGTGATGAGTGAGAAAATGAAAACAGCATTAATAAATCCCCATTAACACATTTTCCTCTTCAAAGAACAAAATAATACAAATCTATGCACAGTTTTTTAGAATACTGATCTCTCAGACACCTGCAGAGTAGGGAAAAGCAACAGTGAGGTAAATCAAGGAGGTACATACAGGCTGCAATCACGGGTCATTTTTCCTCTTCTTCATGCTTTCCTAAATTTCCAGACTTTAGAAATTTAAAGTCTTCCTTTAATCAATGGGACAAAAATAAAAATCTCACTTTTTAAAAGTCTCTACCACCTTCATTTATAGAAAATGGGGGAGGGCAGGATCTGACTAGATAACTCAAACTTGAACTAAGATCCTCCTGCCTCAGCAAACCCCTCCTTGCACCAGCATGCCTGCCTTCACTCCAGATTTTTAAAACCTGTCTTCAGAATTCAACATCCTAAAATATAAATACATTTAGAAACACAGGCATACTGTAAGCCAGAGATTTACACTTCATAACAGACATAAATACATGTGCATGGACAAATATATGCTAATGCATGTAGTATGTATCTCTGTGTCTATATGCATATGATGCTCCAGGTTTAAACACACATAGCTTTTTGAATAGAGCACACTACTAGAATAAATGTTATATAAATATTATGACTTGTGATGGATCCATGCATTATTTGTTCCTTTATAGGTAGTGTCAGAAGCTCATAGGAGTGAGCCCAGAGGCAGCAACAGAGGTACCACTTGATAAAGCTGATGGTTTTGTTCTTAAATGAAAGACTCGAATGTCTGATGGGTCCAGGTCCATATCCCTCAAACAAATAAGCACATCCAGAGCTAATAACTGACAGCTGAGATAAGTCTCAATGTCAATGGACATACCTCATTTAAATTCTTCTCATTGAAACCACATATAAGAAAGAAGACATTTGTGCAAAGCTTCTTCAGGACAACGCGATTGCAAACGTGAGTGCTCAGCCATTTCAGTTTAGCACTCTGGGGGAAAAACTGTTTGTGTCCAAACAAGTCCTGCAAAATAAAAAGAAACCCAAGAATGGGTCAGCATTTCAACCTGATGGGCTGGCCTCAATATTCCTTTAGAAGTACAGACATACAAGGGTCTCCACAAGGGGCCTCCAGGACACAATGGCAATCAACTAACATTCCAAGCAGGAAACCTGTGAGTTATTCCTGGGCTAAATCAGATGTACTTAGAGACATGTGCTAAAGTTCCCTAAATGAAAAGGCAGAGTCAGAAAGCTATGTATGTTTATACTAGACTATTATAAAGGGAGATGACCATCTGTTGAAGGTCTCTTCCCAAACAGCTGTTGAGGCTTGGACTAAGTATGTTTCCCTCTAATCCACTACTGGCTAAATCCAGCCCCCTTGCAGGTCGTTCACTATTTGTTCCAAAACAGGGTCTTGTTGGGATAGTCCTGGCTGGCCTCATAGTTATCCCAGGCTAGCCTCAAACTCATGAGAATCCTGCTGCCTCAAAGGCTGGATTATAGGTGTGAACCGCCATGAACAACTATTGTTAATTTATTAAGAAATATTTTCATGGTGGTAAAACACTTAAGGTTTCTCATTTCCATCTTTAACTGTTCAGTGTCAAGCACAGTCACGCTTGTGTAATTATGCCTATGATCCACTTTCAGAACCCTTGCACTACACCCATTAAACAATTACTCTGAATCCAGTAGCAAGTTCATTACTTCCCACTTCCCCTGCCCAAAGCACCACAATGGTTTCGTAAGTTTTAGTGGAATGCAGCCACAGTATGAGTTTATGAATTATCCCTGGCTTTGGTAGACAGGAATAGTCAACAGAAACCACTTGGCCCATTTTTATAAAAGAAGCTTACCAATCCTTAGTCTATATTGTCCCTAACCAACAATCACTGGATCTAGGTTCAAGTACAGCCGGGACCTTCACTACACTCTCAAAGTAGATCTTCTTGTACTATGCAACAGGAGACAGGTCCTCCTTATATGGAACTCAGATCTGTCCCTTTGCACTCTTGCTCAACCCAGCCACGCTAAGACAAGCAAGAATGGAAAACTCAAGTATCTACAAAGGAAATGTTATGAGTTGAGTTATGTCCACTTAAAAGGCAAACATTTAAGTCTTAAGTGTCAACATTTGAGAATGGCCTTATTTAGAGATTGGGTCTTTTCAGATGACCCAAGTGAAAGAGAGGTTGGGCCTTCCTGTGACATGATTAGTGTCCTTTGAAGGGGAGGAATCTAGCCACAAAGATAGACATGGATGCAGATAAAACAACAACTGACGATGAAGACAGAAACTAGGAAGATGCTTCTACAGCCAAACTGGCCAAAAGCCACCAGCACAGCGTCAGGAAGGACAAGACATGCCACACATTGGCCTGTGGAATCTAGGAGGGCAGCACAGGGAAGCTGGAAACACACACGAATGAGGCTGCACACACACACATGCAGCCTGCTTCTCTGCACTGAGTAGATGACTGGGAAATACCAACAACTTTGACAAAACCCAGTGTTCATGCTGAGCTCAACACTCCAGGTAACTGCTACTTGTTCTTCTTGTTTTGGCTCACCACTAATCCACAGAATGGAGAAGCACAGCTTCTTTTTTTTCCTCCCGTTAAAAAAATGGCAGTTATCTGATCTGCAGTGTAAATATCACACTAGTTTAAATGCATACTATTGTATTCAGGTTTCTGCCAGGAAACTTAACCATCCAGAGATAGCCTGTGATCTCGGTCTGTCTTTGTTAGGATTTCTATTACAGTGATAAAATGCCATGGTCAAAGCAACTAGGTGAAGACAAGGTTCACTTCAGCTTACAGTCCATATCACAGTCCATTATCTAGCAGGGTAGGAATTCACACTGGGCAGGAACATGGAGGCAGGAACTGATGCAGAAGTCATGACAGAGCACTGTTTACTGGCTTGTTCCCTCATGGCTTGCTCAGTCTGCTTTCTTTTAGCATCCAGGACCTCTTGTCTAGGGGTGACACTACCTACAATGGCTGCTCTCTTCTGCATCAATCACTAATTCAGAAAATGCCCCCAAAAGCTTGTCTACATGCCAATGGGGTAAGGGAAATCTCTCAGTTGGGGTTTTCTCTTCCCAAATGACTGCAGCCTGTACATAAAAACCAGGCATCACATTGTGAAGTCAGTCTTCTGTTGGACAATGTATCCAGTCTGAAAGCAGACTTCAGATCTAAATGATCTTTGTCAGAACAGCCACTTGAGAAGTAGCTTAAAAGGACCAGGAAGTAAATTCTACATGGAGAAAAGGTCGAGTGACATGGAAAGCTAGTCCACTCACAGCTCTTGCCTTAGTGTCTACATAATAGTCATTGTGACAACTGCGTGCATTGTTGAAGTTCTCTATTTAGCAGGGTGATGTATAGCAGGCCCACATCAAAGTCCACCATTCCTTTGGGCTGATGGAGGATATAAAGTTGACCTAGTGACTCAGAACCATTGACCCAACTACTGGTCTGGCAAACTCCATAGAAAACCACATCCACGCATGGTGACATATGCAGATAAAGGGGGATTTGCCTTAAATAGTTGTAGGCATGATCACATTAACTTTGATATGTTTGTAAATTACACTTTTATATTTTGTTTCAAAGTATTAGAGGGGGACACTTTACTTCCACAAAAGCAACATGTATTTTTCACAGCAGCTTACTTCAACAGTTTATGAATATTTGTTCATTTGGTTATTTTGTTCAAGTTTGTTTTTGTTTTTACTTTCCCAGTGTGTGCCAGAAAGCATTCAAGTCTGAAATCATGATTTTCCCAAATGCCATGCCCATAGTCTTCATCAGAAACCATAGAGAATGCTTTGTAAAAACACAGAGCCCTGATCTCCACTCCAATTTTACAAAACAACATTTCTAAAGGGGGGGGTGGGGTGGGAGAAGGTGTAGTTTTTAGTTTTACAAAACTAACTCATAAACTCTAAGGAGCAAGCTAGATTTATAACATGCATTCCCCTGCAGCAGCCAGCACACTCTCCTGTATCCACTCTAGAGCTCTTCCCCCAGTCTGAAGTCTACCACAGTAATCAATTAATTAATAGCAGATCTTCATAATCAAAAGCTGCCTATGCAACAGTTAATAAGGAAATCAACTAACAGGCTAGCTCTCCATGGGAGAAATACACAATCTGCAGAACAATCTATATAGCTGGATACCATCTGCCTTGAAACAAAACGATGTATTTCTCTTGGAGCATCTCTATGTGCATAAATTCATATGTGGGGGCTACAGGAAAAGACCACCAGAGTAATTCTAAAGATGGTATTAAAGAGGAGCCCTAGTATTCAGGAAGTACTGGTAGTTTCTGAAGTATTTGTAATGCAAATCAATACTTCTAGTAACTAAGACAGTGGAAACAAAATTTTATTGGCATGTTTGCTGATACAATGAATTCCTACCACAAGAGTCTGACTAACTGTAGCTCTTTGTAACCCAGAATTTCCTGTGCAGTTACAAAGACAATGAAGTGTAACATTATAGTCCTTCTACCTCATCAAGGGGCTCATTAAGGGCATGAGCCCTTTCCTGTAAAAGACTTTAAACAGCCTGGGAGAAAAGAGGAAGTGTTGTGTGATATTTTATGTTCTAACACATAAAGCTTGATTGGAGTCAGAGGGTGGAGCTAACCAGTAGTTAATCATAGAGGTCTGGAGGTCTGTACAGAGAAGAGACAGAAGCAATAAGTTGGGGCAGAGACAGGATTTCTGCCCTTTTGGATGGAGGAGCAGAAGAGGTGGAAAGCAACTGTGACTTCTCTGCTGCCTCACAGATCTTTCAAGTTTTTACACTGATATCTAACTCCTGGTTTTTATTGTTAAGATTAATTAGATTTATGCCTCAAGAGAGAGACAGAGACAGAGAGCTATGTTACACCTACCCCTAAGTAATGAGTCACTTAATAGCAGGGGTAAGTTCTAAGACTCAGATTCTCAAGTAACATTAGCCTTATGCAACCATCACACAGTATCCTTACACAATTCTAGACCTAGATTTCATTATAGAGGGAAATCAGGGGAGGAACCACAGAGATTCTTGCTGGTTCACAGGCTGACACTTAAGACCACTTGCACAGAGATAATGTTGCCCACAGTGGGCTGAGACTTCCTGTATTAATAGTCAAGACAATCTCCCAGAGACATGCCATAGGCCAATGTGATTTTGGTAATTCCTCAATTAGGACTTTTTTTTTTTCTCAGATGACTCTAGGCTGTGTCAAGTTGGCAGTTAAAGCCAACTATGACATAAATACTATGCATAACTATTTGTCCTATACTTTTATATAACTCTTGTAACCATAGATTTTTATATGCTAACATCACCACAAATATGTGAATTATATGTTGAACTACTACTAGTTGATAGGAAAGTTTCAGTTTCATTGTTATCTGTTGGGACCAAAATCCAGTGCATTACTCCTCACTGTCAAAAACCCATTCCAGACAGGCAGTGGGAGTGTGCCTTTAATTCCAGCACTCGGGAGGCAGAGGCAGGCATACTTCTATGAGTTTGAGGCCAGCCTACTCTACAGAGCAAGTTCCAGGACAGACTCTAAAGCTACACAGCGAAACCCTGTCTCGAAAAAAACAAAAACATGTATGTCTCTCTTAGGGTCCTCCTTATTTACTAGCTTCTCTGGCAGTGTGGATTGTAGGCTAACAAGGAGGACCATAAGAGAGATATACATGGTCCCCTAGAGAAGGGGAAAGGGTCAAGATCCCCTGAGCAAATTGGGAGCATGGGAAGGGGGGAGGGAGCTAGGAAATGAGAAGGGAAGAAGAGGAGGGGTAAGGAGGACATTAGGGAGCAGAAAGGTTGAGTTGAGTCAGGGGAAGAATAGAAGATAACAAGAATGGAGATACCATAATAGAGGATGACATTTTAGGTTTACAGAGAAACCAGGCACTAGGGAAATGTCTGGAGATCTACAAAGATGACACCAGCTAACAATCTAAGCAACAGAGGAGAGGCTACCTTAAATGCCCTCCCCTGATAATGAGATTGATGACTGACTTATATGCCACCCGATAGCCCTCATGCAGCAGCTGGTGGAAGTAGAAGCCGACACCCACAGCTAATCACCGAACTGAACTGGAATCCAGATGCAGAGAAAGACGACTGAAGAGCAAAGGGGTCCAGACCAGGCTGGTGAAACCCACAGAAACAGCTAACCTGAACATCGGGGAACTCTTGCTCCCCAGACTGATAGCTGGGATACCATTATGGGACTGATCTAGACCCCAGGAACATGGGTTTCAGTGAGGAAACCTCAGAAATCTATGGGACCTCCTGTAGTAGTTCAGTACTTATCCCTAACATAGGTGTTGAGGACGGGAGGGAGAAGGGAACTAGGATTATCATGTAAAACAATCCTGTTTCTAATTCAAATAAAAATATCTGAAAAAAAATAAAAAAACAAAAACAAAAAAAGAGAAACATTACAGGGCTGGAAATATGGCTCAGCTATTAAAAGTTAAGGTCACAACTAAATAATCAAAAAACATACATGGCATATGACTGTATATAACACTGTATTCAGTGTGTGTGTGTGTGTGTGTGTGTGTGTGTGTGTGTGTGTGTGTGTTTATAAAATATATAACACTGAAATAAATGACTGTCCATTCTTAATGAGCTTAAACTCCTCATCAGTGCTGTTGCTCCTTGGAATGAAGTTTAGAATTGAATAGCTCTAGGGCTAAGCACTGATATGCTTAGGGGCCAAATAATTCCTTAGATCATTTTCAGCATGGCTAGGGACAGGCACACAGAAACAGTATACCTCTTGTCTCTTATCTCCTGTCTACTCCTGTGTACCTACTTGCCTGTGGATGAAAAGCAACTCTAGGAATGCTTAAGTTACTTTTTCAAAACCTTCCTAGTACCTTCTTTGTGTAGTGTGTAGGGACCTGAACTAAGCTGCTAACTATGAATACATGCAGCTACGTGTCTAGTTAATTTGGTTCCCTGGGTGCCTCTTGCAGGAGGAGGTGTGAAGGCAAGCACACCCACTGCTCCAGTAATACCATCTACAGAGGACACTGCCGATTCTCATGTGACCAGTTTTTCAGCTCAGAAGAGGATATGTGAGGAGAAGGGAGATGGGTGAGACCCAAGTACCTCAATAATAACTTCTGGCCACTTTGAAATCTTGATCACAGGGCTCAAGGCGAAATTGAGAAACACCACAGGGGCCAAGGCAAAAAACATTTTAATCTTCTTTGCCAGCTCAGGTATCTGTGAAAATGCTATAAAACCTGTGGGGCAAAAGAAAGAATTAGACCTTCTAGTACTTCCTCAAAAAAACAGAAGGGGGTCACCCATTGAACCCTACAGGGGAAGCCCAACACCACACAAGTTGAATAGCTGAACAGAGCTCTTAAGACATTCTGGCTCAGAAACAAGGAATTTAGGTCCAGATTTCAGCCTACAATATGCATGGAAAGAGGTCCAGGGTAAGAGAGTAAAGAAAGTCTTCCCTGTTCCCATGGCAATGTGAATCTTTAGAGCTCCACCCCACACTTCTACCTCCCCTTCCTATCTCTAATTTGCAGACCATCCAAGCAGAACACCAGTAACTCAAAAGCCACATTTAGACTTCCCTCACTGTAAAATATCTTTTACACTTCTCTCAGATCTCCCCATGCTACTTGTCTCTAGGACACTTTAGAAACAATGGACTTTAGACAAGTCACCTAGTCATAAAAGAAATAATGGAAATAAAGAACATGCAGCTCCATTTTCTGGAGGGTGAGGCAATTTAACATGTTAATACTCTGAAAATCACTTATACTGTTCACTTGGTGAATCTCTTTGCAGAGTGTACTCTACGCCGATCACGTGCCATGAACACAAAGTTGTTAGTGACAGTATAAACTGTCATCTTGTAGTTAGTTATGTCTCCCTTAACTTTATTTCTTTAATTACTGATTTATTTATTTTGGGTGGTGCTAGGGTTTGATCCTGGGGTTCAAACCTGTTAGGCAAGCACTCCACACCGAGCTGCACCCCAGCACTGAAGATTTAAAGTATATTTTCTTACTGACCCTTTGAGGTTTCTGACATTAGGCAATGTCACCCTCTCACCTCCCTATGTTGCTTACACTAGAAAACACATAACAAATATAGCTTACATCAGTTCTTTCGATTTTAAGACACTTAACAACTTACACTAAAATTCTGAATTTCTGTAGATTACTACTGAAATTTTCGTGGTCTGTTCATGTTTTCTGCTTGGCATAAAAAAAAAAACTGTATTCAAAGTAACATCATTCTTGTGTAACATCACTTCACTTCAAAGACATGTTGCCTTTTCCTTCTTTATTGTATACATACCTATGGTGGTGCCTTGAGAATGACCCACATAATACACTTGTTCTTGACCAGTTTTATTCACAATGTAATAAATTGAAGCAGGTAGGTCATATTTTGCCATCTCATCAAAACTACAATCCAAAAGACAAAGGATTCTTCAATTGAAACAGTGCACAAAAGTACAACAGCACACAGACACTTGGTATGAAGTGTTAGCACACACTGAACATGGCTGAAAGAGCATGCATGCATTCAGAACACTAACTGTGTCTAGGACCAAGGAAGTTCCCCTGCATGCCAGTTGTTCCCCAGTTGTACCTCCTGAAGGTAACACCTCTAATTTTCATGTTTATAAGTTAGCCTGATTCACTTTGCATATTTCCTGTAAATGGGATCATGTAACATAGCATCTTCCATAACTGGCTTTCCTCATGTTGGTATGTGACTATAGCTGTTTATTCTCTTGTTATTATGTTATTATGTTACACCACACTTGGTTCATTGAATTTACTGCTGGCGTGTATTTGAGCACCCATTGTTATAAACAGTGCTACAATAAACATTTTCTAATAATACATGCCTTTTGGTAAAGTTCTCACTCTTGTGATTCATGGCCAGGGTGGCTCCAGTTTTATCAAAAGGAAGCATCTACAGGACCAGCCTTTTATAATACCTGGTACACTAAACTGTAGTCTTTAACCAGGTAGGTAGGTGTGTGTGTGTGTGTGTGTGTGTGTGTGTGTGTGTGTAGAGAGAGAGAGAGAGACAGAGAGAGAGAGAGACAGAGAGAGAGAGAGAGAGAGAGAGAGAGAGAGAGAGAGAGAGAGAGAGAGAGAGAGAAAGGGGAAGGAAGAGGGAGGAGGAAAAGGAAAACGACAATCCAATTGTTAGAAAGCACTGAGACTATGCCAGGCTCTGTGATGGCTCCTTCCCTGAATCCTTTACTTTAGGCCCAGTGAGTTTGAGCTGGGACTTTAGCATCCCCATTTTATAGATAAGGAAATAGACACAGACATTTATAGCTGTGCTAAGTATCACATAACAATTGATTGGTAGAGTGAGGAGTAAGAAAGAGAGAGATAGAAAGCAGTAAGATAAACATGTGAGTATGTGTGTTATGGGGAGTGATATTTAACCTAAACTCCTCCCTAATGCCAGGAAGGTTCAGAATAACTTAAGAATTCCTAGCTGAATCTAATCACTTATGCAATCATTTATTCAAATTTACCATCACATTGGCTATTAAATTCCTGACAAGTTTCACAACTTGTCAAAAGACATCAGCTTCGTTATACACTACCTCCCAGATAGATTCCCAAGTATCTATCGTAAGGATGCTAAAGACACAGATCCAGTCATAATCGCTTGTGATATACCTGAAGGCCCAGAATTCATCCTGAGAAATGGAGAGAGTCCTATGTTTCAGAGACCAGGTGTTTCCTCTGCTGTTCCCCAGCCACACATCAAAACCAGCATCGGCCAGAATGAAGCCCAGGCTGCTGTTGTCAGAGTTTGTGACCCAGTTACTAGAATCTGCCAGGAAGCCATGCTGAAGATAGACAACTGGTTTGGGACCTGAAAAACATTGATGTTTAGAAGGTATTATATCCAATCTCCTCGGCAAATTTGCTGTCTTGCTAAACTGTCAACACTTAAGAGAAACCAAAGCAAATAGAGCAACAGAAACAGATTAACAAGCTGGAGAGACATGTTTCCTTTAAACGGTGTTGACAAAGATGCAGCAAAAACTACACTGTTTTTTTGTTTGTTTTTTTTTTTGGTTTTTATTTTTGTTTGCATTTCTGGTAAAAAACCGTTGACTTAAGCATCAAAATAAAGTTTAATAGACATGGGTGAGCTTGCAAAATGTTTCTATAATCACAATGATTCCAAACAAAATAAACTGGGAGGAAATGTCACACACAATGAGATGGTTCTATACCTCTGCAACAATGGATGAACCCTAAACAGAGATAATGGCAACTGTTGGCCAAGATGAAGGGCAATGGGATGGCAGAAACACACATGAGTGCTTCGGGGAGCTTTGTGCATCATTTCTAACATTTGAACAGAACTAACTGGAGATGCTGAGTGACAGTGACATGCCAATGAATACAACTGAGGTGTTCATAAAAGATGAGGCTACGCATGTACAGGACAGAGGCATGTGGGAAGTCTATTGATGTTTATAGTAGATTTATTCATTGCCAAAATTTGGAAGTGTTGGTTGCTCAACCCTGCATCTGCTTGATTTTGAAGTGACCCTGTAGGGAGCCGTCCCTGCATTCTCCATTACAAGATGGCGCCTGCATCCGGCAGGCACCGAATGTAAACAAGATTATTGCGCAGGCGCTGGGTAATTTTCCATTCCTTGATCTCTGCCTATTCCGTGGCGTCATATGGCCGGATGAGCTGCAGCCAATCATGGGGTGACACGTCCGAGGCGGTGGTTGCCAGCCTTTATTAGGGGACGGGATTCTTGGCTTGGGGTCTCCGCTCTGGTAAGCTTATGCTCTCCTCTC